GGGACTGAGTCCCTCAGTCTGAGCTCCAGGGCCTCTGGTTTCATTCCTCTGATTTTCACTTCCAGCATTTTCTTTCATTGTGGAAACTATCCAAATCACTTCTAAAGAATCCAGGTTTGTCTCTTAAGTTGTGCTGAATGTACTGCATGCATGCATGCCAGTTGCTCAGTCGGGTCTGACTCTGACCCCACGGACTGTGGCCCACCAGGCCCCTCTGTCCACGGGATTCTCCAGGCAGGAACACTGGAGTGGGCTGCCATGCTGTCCTCCAGGGGATCTTCCTGACCCAGGGGTTGAACCTGTCTCCTGCACTGGCAGGCAGAGTCTTTACCGCTGAGCCAGCAGGTGTTTCTTATAGCCAAAGAGAAGGAGAAGAGCCTGAGAGATATATTGGAAAACACTTTATTTAAAAATACAAAACAGCCCTGACCAAATGGAGATCCGCCCCTGGGGTACCACTGAATGCAGTAAAACCAACTATTAGCAAACATCCCGGACTTTGTAACTTCCAAACAGAAGTTTTTCCATTCTAAGATGCCTTGCTGGAAACATATTTAGCTGACTGATTAGTACCTTTATTCTTTTGAATGTCTCTTCAATCTAAGGATGATTTATACCTTTTCTCTCATTTCTTTCACTCCTTCCTTATTGTCAACAGAGGGGTAGGGTAGCATTATGATTTTATTTCAATGTGTTTTGTTTCTTTTTAGAATAAGAGGTCACCTTTTACAAAATTTGTTTTGTTTTGAACACAGGCATTTTAGTACTTCAAATCTACCTGTGCACTCATTCATAATGAGAAACTGATCTTCTTGCCCAAGGCTAACCAATAGAAATATAATGTGAACCACATATGTAATTTTCAATTTCCAAGTAGCCACACTTTAAAATGGTGAAAAGAAACAGCTGAAAATAATTTTAATAATATATTTTACTTATACATTTAGAAAAATATTTCAACATAAAATCAATATAAAGGTATTAATGATTCTTATCATACTAAGTCTTTGAAATCCAATCTATGTTTTACACTCAGAGCACATCTCAATTCAGATGCAAATTTTAATTAGAAATACTTGCTCTGTATAGGGCTTCCCAGGTGGCTCAGTGGTAAAGAATCTTCCTGCCAATCCAGGAGATGCAGGAGACCCTGGTTCAATCCCTGGGCTGGGAAGATCGCCTGGAGGAGGAAATGACAACCCACTCCAGTGTTCTTGCCTGGAGAATCCCATGGACAGAGGAGCTTGGCGTGCTACCTGACTATATATATGCATATATATTTAATGCATGCATATACTATAAGTACTTGAAAAACTAAATACCCAAGTTTTTCCAGCATGCTTAATCTTGTCAAATAACTGAATTGGACTAGTTTTTACGTTTAAATTAATTAAAACTGAATGAAATTAAAAATTCAGTCCCTCAGCTGCACTGGCCACATTTCACATGCTCATTTCATATGGCTAGTGGATACTGTTTGGACCTCACAGATCTAGCAGAACTAGCTGGGAATGTGTGTTTAACTGGCTGGAGAGAGATGTCCAAACTCGTCTCGGGTCTCGTTTATGAGCTTTCGATGCCTGAGGTATGTTAGGCTTCACTGAGGGCTTCCCAGGTAGCTCTAGCCTAGTGGGCTACAGTCCATGGGGTCACAGAGAGTCAGACACGACTGAGTGACTCAGCACGCATGCACACAAGCTTCACTGAACTGTAGGTTTATTGTTTTCATCAAGCTTGGGAATTTCTCAGCCATTATTTCTACAAAGTTTTTTTTTCTATCCTATTCCATTCCCTACCCCAAACAAGCCACCTCCTCCCAAAATTCATCCAGTCCACCACCAAAATTCCAGACTTCAATATCCTGCATGTTAGACAGCTTAATGTGGTCTCAAAGCTTATTCTTGCTTTATTTGTTCCATTTTTTTTTCTTTAGTGTTTTATTTAGGGTAATTTCTGTTGCTATGTCTTTAAGTTTACTAACCTTTCCTTCTTCAGTGTCTAATCTAACGTTACTCCCATCTACTATATTCTGTTTTTCATTTCAGATAATGTATTTTTCATTTCTAGAATTTCAATTTGGGTCTTTTTTTCTTAGATCTGCCATTTCTCTCTTCATTGTGATCATGTTTTTTTCTTCTTTTTCAAACATATGGAGTATATTTACTGTAGCAATTTTAATGAATATACAGAATATATTTATAGAAGCTGTTTTACTATCCCTTGCCTTCAAATTCTATCATCTGTGTCACTTCTGAGTCCGTTCCTACTGTGTGACTTTTCTCTTGGTTATGGATTGTATTTTCCTACTTCTTTGCCTGCCTGGAATCTTCTCATTGGATGCTAGACTTTGGGAATGTTATCTGTTGGGTGCCAGTTTTATTTTAGTTGTTCTGTTATTATTACTTATTAGCTTTTATATTCCTTTAAGCATCTGGGCGTTTCCCTGGTGGCTCAGAGGTTAAAGCGTCTGCCTGCAATGCGGGAGACCTGGGTTCGATCCCTGGGTCGGGAAGATGCCCTGGAGAAGGAAATGGCAACCCACTGGAGAATCACATGGACGGAGGAGTCTGATGGGCTCCTCTGATGTCCTCACCCCCTGGGTGAGGTTGGGAGTCAAAACTAAACTTGTCATCATTATAATTCTCAGGTCGTTGTCATTAGAAATGACCTAAGGCACTCATATTCCACCAAGGAGACTTCTTCATGTATTCATTCGTCACTGAACAAATTTATCGAGAGCTCACTCCTGGCCAGGCCTGAGCTCAGGGCTCAGGAGACAAAGTCCTATCAACAGTCCCTACATTTAAGGGGCTTTTTGAATGCAGGAGAAAGGCTCACAAACAAATAATTATTCTATCTTAAAAAATGAGAGTAACCATACTATGGCCAAGAGTGGAGATCTTGAAGTCAACCACAACTTTGGATCAAGTCACCATGTATCAGACATACAGCGAGCTGAACTGTCTGAGAACTGTTATATCTACCTCAAAAAAGGAAATAAACGCAAAAACGTATAGCACAAGGTTATGTGAAATAGTGCCGCAGGGTAGTTGCTGGCTTTACAGTTCTCCACAGGCTGAATGAATAAAATACCTTCAGAATGACTATTCTGACATCCTATTTCTGCTCAAAAGAATAATTAGGAACAAATATAGCAAATGTAGCAGCAGCAGAACATACTACCCTACACTGAATGTGCCCAGAATCGCCAACAGTACTTGACGGCTATTAACAGCACTGAAAAGACTTAATTTCCTACAAGTATGTGATCACAGAATAACCATTTCCATCATTTTCAGATTTCAGGTAACAAACACTTAATTATTCACTGGGAAAGGAATTTTAGAATGTAAGGAACTTTAGAAGAGTCTAGTGATCGTCATGTTCATTTTATAAATGAGAAAACTGAGGGTCCAAAAGTGAAGGGACTTCACAGAGCTCGTGGCGCGGGACAGAGCGGGGCGTCCTCACGAGCCCAGGGCCCCCTTCAGCACGCCGTAAAGCCTCCAGACGCTCACCAGCTAGCCGGGGCAGGCGGACTTCTCCTGGGAAGGGCCGGACAGCAACACTCCAGGCTCGGCCGACCACAGACGGTCTCTGTCGAGTGGCCTTCCCTGTTGCTATCGTCATTGCTGCCGCTGTTCCCCGCAGTCATTCAAACACATAAAAACCCTCTTGCTCCACAGGCCAAACAAAGATGGACCTCGGGAAAGACCTGGCCTGAAAGCCACCCTTTCCCAAGCCGTGGCCTATGTCATTGCAAAAGCTGTTGAAGAAAGAAGCCAGCAGACACAGAAAACAAGCTCGTGGTTACCAAAGGGAAGGGGATGGGGTTACGTGAGGACTTTGGGATTAACATACACACGCTGTCATGAATGAAATCGATAACCAACAAGGACCACGGTGCAGGGAGCTCTGCTCAGTATTTTATAATAACCTATAAGAGAAACAAATCTGAGACAATAGCTTTGTGTGTGTAACTGAATCATGTTGCTGGACACCCGAAACTAGAAAACACTGGCAAATCAATTACACCTCAACTTTTTAAAAAGGAGAATGGAGAAAAATGAGATGAAATAAAATAAGTATAGAAACAAAAAACGGTTGACACCCAATCCTCACTCTCAAGGATTCTGTGGAACGACATCTTACTTACTACATGTGCTGTTTTTAACAGTACATGAATGCAGGAAGTCAGATTCTTTGCCACGCTAATCTGAAACATTTCAAAACATGCACCAGGCTTCCTGTGTGTGCTTTGAGGAGGACAATTAAAATTCACAGCACAGACTTCACCAGTATAATGATAGTCTGTCATTACTGGACTGATGAATCTCAGTGGAATGTGTGTGTTAATAAAGCCACTCCACGTTTGTTTCACAGCCCGGGTAATAAACAGAGGCCGCCCGAGCCCTGATTGAACAGCAGCGTGCTCTGTCTGTCCCGTGCAGAGTGACACCGTCTGCCCTGTTTCGCCCAGATGTGTGAGCACTCCATTTCTCGTAATGGGGCTATTTAGGAACCCGTCAACAATTAAATGTCACTGACATTACATAATCACATGCTGCTTTTCTTTAATAGCTGGGAACTTAATTAGGGGGCTATTTGCCAAACTGTATTAATCTTTCCTTTAAATCAGAGCTGCCAGCACTTCATTTCCCTCTTAAGACAGGTGTTTTTCTAACAGATACCATTTATTCTTTAATGATATTAAAGGACATGTGTAAGGAAGCCTGCTTGCTTCTCATGGTGGGAAGCTATCTTTTTTTTTTAAGGTTTTTTTTTTTTGACGTGGACCACTTTTAAAGTCTTTATTGAATTTGTTACAATACTGCTTGCTTTATGTCTTGGGTTTTTGCCCCTGAAGCATGTGGGATCTTAGCTCTCCAACCAGGGATCGAACCCACAACCCCTGCACTGGAAGGTGAAGCCGTAAGCAGTGGACCTCCAGGGAAGTCCCAGGAAGAGCTGCCCTTTTCAGCGACCACGGGCTCCATTCTTTACACTGTGCTACCCACCTCATCAAAGTCACCGCCGAATCCAACCCGCTGAGAAAATGCTTCAGAGATTTCCTGGGCAATATCCTGTTGCTCTGTGATCTCTTGCATCAAATCATCTATTTTGTTCAGATCCCTGGGAAACAATGTTTTGTTGAAATATTGTAGAATTTTGCTTTAAAATTATAAATTTAGATACAATCCCCTATGAAAAGTGAGTCAATTTAACATAAACTCTTAGTTATTTCAGTAGGACAATAAACATACCTGATGATAAAATTTATCAACTTTAAGAAGAATTTACACTTCAAGAAATTAATAATTCTGTATGTGCACACATATTTTAAAGTATGTAAGCTAAATGGATAGCCATTACCTTTGGGAGTCACTAGGAGACATGCCTGCAGACCCATTTCGAAATCCTGTCTGGCATCTCAGGGGCTAAGTGGTGCCCGACTCCCTGCGACCCCATGGGCTGTAGCCCACCAGGCTCGGACTTTGTCCACGGGATTCCCTAGGCAGGAACACTGGAAGGGGTTGCCATTTCCTTCTCCAGGGTGAAAGGGCATATGAAACGGTTAAAGACATGCTGTGTATTAATTCTGCAGGAAGCGATGCCACGGGCCATCAAGGACCACGGCGAGTGAGATAAGCTAGGGCGGCAGTCAGGAGCCGCTTTCTGTAGAAGATGGACTCTGGAGACCAGAGGTCTATTTTCCAGGATGCCGCGTGGCCCTGAAATCCTGACTTCCTGAGAATTTCCCCATGGCCGCTGATGCGCCGGGAGACAACGGATGAGAGCAGGGTGAGGCCTGTGGAGGCCGGAGAAGCAGAGCATCAGCAGAGGGATCACAGGCCCAGGGCCGACGGCGACTCTCAAGCCAGCTCCTGGCGCCTGAGCCCCTCTGGCCCCTGAAGCCCCGTGGGCTCGGGTCCGAGTGCCCCGGCGGCCGCGGCCGCATCCTGTCTCCGCGTCAGCCCTCCAGCTCTGAAGCCAGGCCACGCTGATGGGTACCGGGAAAGTGACAAGTTTACTCATTACTGAGTCACTAACACTGAAATTGTCATCCCCAGTGGAATTAAATACTTTGCATGTTTTCCAAACTCCACATATAGGAAAAGCTGAATATTGGACAGCATTTCATGTAGTAATCAAAAAGAGAACGTCGACATCCTGCTGTGCTGTGCTAAGTCGCTCAGGCGTCTCCGCCTCTTTGCAACACCATGGACCACAGCCCGCCGGGCTCCTCTGTCCCGGGATCCTCCAGGCTCCTCTGTCCCGGGATCCTCCAGGCTCCTCTGTCCATGGGAGTCTCCACCATGGACCACAGCCGGCCGGGCTCCTCTGTCCTGGGATCCTCCAGGCTCCTCTGTCCGTGGGAGTCTCCACCATGGACCACAGCCGGCCGGGCTCCTCTGTCCCGGGATCCTCCAGGCTCCTCTGTCCGTGGGAGTCTCCACCATGGACCACAGCCGGCCGGGCTCCTCTGTCCCGGGATCCTCCAGGCTCCTCTGTCCGTGGGAGTCTCCACCATGGACCACAGCCGGCCGGGCTCCTCTGTCCCGGGATCCTCCTGGCTCCTCTGTCCGTGGGAGTCTCCACCATGGACCACAGCCCGCCGGGCTCCTCTGTCCCTGGGATCCTCCAGGCTCCTCTGTCCATGGGAGTCTCCACCATGGACCACAGCCGGCCGGGCTCCTCTGTCCCTGGGATCCTCCAGGCTCCTCTGTCCATGGGAGTCTCCACCATGGACCACAGCCCACCGGGCTCCTCTGTCCTGGGATCCTCCAGGCTCCTCTGTCCGTGGGAGTCTCCACCATGGACCACAGCCGGCCGGGCTCCTCTGTCCTGGGATCCTCCAGGCTCCTCTGTCCATGGGAGTCTCCACCATGGACCACAGGCAGCCGGGCTCCTCTGTCCCTGGGATCCTCCAGGCTCCTCTGTCTGTGGGAGTCTCTACCATGGACCATAACCCTCCCTACTCTTCTGTCCCGGGATCCTCCAGGCTCCTCTGTCCATGGGAGTCTCCACAATGGACCATAACCCTCCCGACTCCTCTGTCCCGGGATCCTCCAGGCTCCTCTGTCCCGGGATCCTCCAGGCTCCTCTGTCCGTGGGAGTCTCCACCATGGACCACAGCCGGCCGGGCTCCTCTGTCCCGGGATCCTCCAGGCTCCTCTGTCCATGGGAGTCTCCACCATGGACCATAACCCTCCCGACTCCTCTGTCCCGGGATCCTCCAGGCTCCTCTGTCCATGGGAGTCTCCACCATGGACCATAACCCTCCCGACTCCTCTGTCCCGGGATCCTCCAGGCTCCTCTGTCCATGGGAGTCTCCACCATGGACCACAGCCCGCCGGGCTCCTCTGTCCCTGGGATCCTCCAGACTCCTCTGTCTATGGGAGTCTCCACCATGGACCACAGCCGGCCGGGCTCCTCTGTCCCGGGATCCTCCAGGCTCCTCTGTCCGTGGGAGTCTCCACCATGGACCACAGCCGGCCGGGCTCCTCTGTCCCGGGATCCTCCTGGCTCCTCTGTCCGTGGGAGTCTCCACCATGGACCACAGCCGCCGGGCTCCTCTGTCCCGGGATCCTCCAGGCTCCTCTGTCTATGGGAGTCTCCACCATGGACCACAGCCGGCCGGGCTCCTCTGTCCCGGGATCCTCCAGGCAGGACATGGGCGCAGGCCGCCAGTTCCTCCTCCAGTAGCCCCCCGACCACCCCTTATTTCCGCTTCTTATATTTATAACAAATATACTAGGGTCATGTATTTAAAAATCACATGTGAAAGGTACAGCTAAAATATGGGCCCAGGAGTAAATTTTTCCCAAAAGGAACACCCGGGGAGGATGCGGCTGAACTGCCTGGGAGAAAGGCTGTGATTCTGGAACACAGCATCTAAGTCACAGCAGTGACAGAGGGTGGTGACTCTGAGAGGGAATCTAACAATCCCTCAGAAGCTGTCAGAGCGACGGCTGATGGTCAGCTGGTTATCAGGACAGGAAAACGTCAGCCAAGCCGCCTTCACTGACCACGGCCTCTCTCTCCCCGCCTTTCTCCCACCCACGGACCCATCTCCACGTCCCTCAGACACTCGTAGCCCTTGTACACATTTGGCCCAAATTTCACCATCATATTTAAGCCCAGGAAAGGATTAGGTCCCAGGCATTGATCCTCAGTGCAGATAAAAAGCAGTCAGGAGCCCCACTACCGCTATGAATTCTGATGACTGAGCACTTACTTTACACTGCGAACTCCTAACGGCAACGTATCTCATTTCTCATCGTCTCTCACAAGAACCACGTGAGGTGAGTACGATTATTATCTTCAACTTACAGACAAGGAAACTGAATCGGGAAGAGACAAAGTATTGTCCAAGGGCAGTCAGTCAGGATCTGGGATTACAATCCAGAAAATCTGCCCCAAATCCACGCTTGTATCTATTATATTGTATGCCAATGGTTCTCGAACATCGGTCAGGATCAGAATCACTCAGAGAACTTGGTTGAAAACAAAAAGGCCCAGTCCCGACCTTTCTTGAAGGGGCGTGGGCATCTCGGTTCTCTTTAGTGGTGATTTCTGAGCCGTCCCAAAGTTTGAGCCTGGGAAGGAAAGATCCCCTGGAAGAGAAAATGGCAACCCACTCCAGTACTCTTGCCTGGAAAATTCCAGGGACGGAGGAGCCTGGTGGGCTACAGTCCATGGGGTCGTGAAGAGTCAGACACGACTGAGCGACTTCACTTCTGCAAAGTTTGACAGCCACTATGGTACAGTTCTAATACCTTCACGGATGTTACCATTTAAGCCTTTTTAAAACTATATGATGAAGATATTGGCAGGTGGAGTATCAGAGAAGAGTGAGGCCTGGAAAACATGAAAGGCAAAATGAGTGCCCTTTATTTTCTCATGATCTTTTCTTCTTTTGCTAATACCTTAAAACTTCTGCTCTTTCTCTGTGGGAGCATTCCATTCCAACATGTCAAAGAGTCTCAGATGAGTAAGCCCATCCCTGCCCAAGCCATCAAACAGTTCCAAAGCTCTGAGGGAACCCAAGACTCAGAGGAAGGCTGAAGTCACTCACATGTTCTCATGAACGGCTTTCATGGCTTTCGCTGCAAGGCCCATATTCTTTAACACCTCCGTGTTCGTGTATGAGTTTTCCAAGGCTTCTCTCTGGAACTCAATGGTGGAAAGTGTGCCGTCAATCTGAGTGAGCTGCTTCTCATACCTCTTCTTCCTCCTCAGGGCCTGTAATGCAGCTAAATAAGGAAGAAGCCACATTTATAAGAAGCTTTACGTAAACTCACTTACTCACGAGACATTTACTCAGCATCAACCATGGAGACCCGGGTTTGATCCTTGGGTGGGGAAGATCCCCTGGAGAAGAGAATGGCATCCCACGCCAGTGTTCTTGCCTGGAGAATCCCATGGACAGAGGAGCCTGGCGGGCTACAGTCCACACGGGGTCATAAGAGTCGGACACGACCGAGCGCCAGATGAGTGAGTGAGTGAGTGAACCACGGACTCAGCACTTTAGAAACCCACAAAGAGGACCCCAGACAAAGCTGAGGAACGTAGTGGCAGCATCTCTCTTGCAATAGCTTGTACAAAGTGCCACTCCCTAAAACATTTTGTTATTCTCCCAAAAATCTGCCAGGTGTCAGAGGATGAAAAGTCAGAATACCATATTCTATAATATATACCACAGAAACATTTTTGTTAATGTTGGATTTTAGAAAAAGACTAGGTAAAAACAGAAGTACATATTGTGTAAGATGAAAATAAAGCTTTAGAGAAAGAACGAGCCTGAACGACTATCTATTTTAGCCCTATATTCTTTCTTCAGTTAGCAATGATCGCGCCATGAATAAACCTCACTGGCTATGACACTGCCACTGTGCAAAGTTATTCTTATTTCAAAGACAAGTTAGTTGAGACCCAGAGAAGTTATATGAGTTGTCTGATGTTAATAACAGTCCAAAACCCAGCAAGCCAACCATGTCGTGATCTGAAGTGACTATGAGACAATCAGTAAGGTTACACCTAATCATAAATGTCATGAAATCAACAGAGTCACACTCAAGGATTAGATGGCATACTGCTGAGGGAAAAGACTGCTGCCTTCAGAAAAATGATATCCAAATTGCCTCCCATCAGCCTCAGCAAAATCTTAACGCGCATCTTTCATAAATCACGAGTCCATTTGACTATGGCACCTTTGAAAGCACCCTGAAAAATAGGTAGGCCTTAAAATGTGAGTTTTGAAGAGGCATTTAGTGAAAGTACAGGAAAGAGCAGTAGAAGAATGCTAACATGAAGATAATCAAATGGAATTGACAGAAGAACTCAAATAGTTTTATGGTTTCAGAGTGAAACGTGATTGTGACAGATTTCTGAGAGAAGGCTCTTCTCTGTTTTGAACAATTTCTTCTTGCACTTCCAACAGATTTAGTATATTTATTCCAATGCTTTTTGTTTGGTGCACAAAGACTCCTGGCCATTATACTTTTTTGCTGGATTTTTATTAGTGATCAATAAATAAATATTTGTTGTTATTGTTTGTTGTTTAATCGTTAATTTGTGTCTAACTCTTTTGTGACCTCGTGGACTATAGCCTGCCAGGCTCCTCTGCCCATGAGATTTCCCAGGCAAGAATCCTAGAGTGGGCTGCCATATTACTTGCTATCCATTTAATCCTCTTTACCTTAAATTCCATTTTGTTTCATATTAACGTTTAATATAAAATTAGTACTTACATACTATATATTAGCATTAAATAAAATTAATGTTTCAGCTTCTTTCTGTTGACTTTTACCTGTAATACTTCTATGTGGACCTCAATTTCAAACTTTTAAAAAAAAAGTTTTTTGGTATGCCTATAACAGGTAGAATATATTTGAATGTTTAATGTGTATGATTATTTTTAACCATTTGAATACTCTCCAACTTTTAAGGTAAGTTTTTAAGTTATTTTTATTTATTGTAATAACTGATATGTTGTCCAAAAATGGTCTTTTTACCATCATCTTTTTTGTGTCTTCTGTTTGTTATGCTTTTTATTTTCTTTTTGCTTTCTTGTCTATATATAGATTAATTTCCCTTTGTTCATTTTATTCCCCTTTAATTGTGGGATAGTTATACATACTAAATTTATTCTCCTACTGGATACTCTTGTATTTAAAATATACACATAAAATTAAACTTAAGCTTTCTATTCATGTTGAAAATTAATCAGTATCTATAAAACTAATTGTTCCTAAACAAGATTGTCTTAACACCCCAACACCCCAAGTACTGAAATATCTTACTTTTATCAGTTCCAGATGACTACCAGTTTTAAAAATTATTCTTTCAATTTTTTAAGGAAATATTTCTTAACAGCTGCATTAAGCTTCATAGACACAATTTCAACAGTTATTTACACTAAACTGAGAGTGTCTGCTGGCTTGTTTTCCTACGACTGCTTCTTGTATCCTATATCATGAACCCAAGAGAAGAGATAATGTAGAGAATAAATACGTTAAATAAAAATCTGTTAAAAACAAAACTTACATTAGTGTCTACAGAGAGAGCAAGAAGTTATTGTGTTATAAGACAAGAATGGGCTATCCTAAAAAATGAGCAACTAGAAAATAATAAACAGTTCTTAGAAATTAAAAACACAACTAAAAAATAAATGTTTAAAAAGTAGAATAATAAATATAGCTGATGACTAAAACAGTGACCTGGAATATAAAGTTAAGGAATTCTACCAGAACAAAGAACAAAAAGATAGATAATTTAATAAATTAGAGGACAGAACCAAGGAATCCAACATCCATCTTACAGGAAGTTCAAAAGAAAAAAAGAAAGAATATTTCAGGGGAAGTGTGGATACTAAGATAAAAATAAGCAGCAGTCTCAGGAAAAAATAGGCAGAAATAATGGAGGGGGAAGAAGCAATAAAGAAATTACAGAATGTGCTGGAACTTTCTGAGCACCCAGCGCTTAGGACTCTGCCCTGCCACTGCAGAGGGCCCAGGGTTTGATCCCAGGTTGGGGAACTAAGACCCTGCAAGCCGTGTCCTGTGGCCAAATAAATAAATCAAAGACAGTTACTGCTGACGACGTGATGAAAAGTAAAAAAGAAATTAGAGTACAGTTTCCCCAAGACGAAGGAAGATGATTCTTCAGAATACTCACTGAACACATAGATGGGAAAAACAAAATAAAAGGCACATGCCTAGACCTCCACCAGTGAAATTTCGTTTCTCCAAGGTAAAAAAGAAAAAAAAAAACTCGTCGATGTCTCCAGAGAGGAAACAAACGAAACGACTACTAACAAAGGGATGAGACAGTACTATCAGTAAACCTCAGAAACTTTGGCGCTCCAACAGAAATGTGTCTTACAACTTCGGCAATGTGTTGAAGCTAGATTCTGTAAAAATCCAAGCAATTATTTAAGCGTGAAACAAATGAAGTCATCTTGAGACGCATAGGTATTTAGAGAATTTATATTTATGTACCCTTTCTGAAAAAGAATTCTTTACCTTTTACTCCAGTAAAACTAAAAAGAAAGAAAAAAAGTCTTAGGACAATCTAGGATACCGGAAGCAACTTGAAGGAAATGAGCCAGCAGATGTAAATAGCTGCCGCAATCACAGTCACAGAGGTGTTTCTCCAGAGGCCTCCCCGTAGACCCGGGCAGGGCAGGGCGTGCCGGCGGGCAGGCCTGCTCCCGGGGTGGGGAGGAAGCAGACAGGCCGGGCGTTCCTGCAGCTGCCAACCACGCGGTAGGTGTGGACGTTCTCCTGTCTCCCTCGCGGTGGTAACTTCTCCTCCCGTCCCTTCCGCCCGCGGGGAAGGCCCAGGGCCATCTCGCCTCCTCCCCGGGGCAACACCGCAGCGTCCGGCATCGCAGGAGCAGCGCTTACTCCTAACTTTAACAACAGTTTTTATGTTTGTTTAATCTGTCCTTTGGGAAGGAAACTAAAAAAAGAGGCCTCTGGCGCAGGGGCCTTCCTACAGAATCTCACAGCGCGGCTCTGCGGGGAGGCTCCGCCGGGAGGACCAGCAGCGCTGCCCTGTCCCCCCCGGGGCCACGCCGCGCGCGGGCCTCGTGCGGGACTGCAGTCCTGTGTTAGTAAAGTCGGTCCGACCCCATCTCCCCGACCCTGAGGGTAAGCCCTTTGTAGAAAGATACAGCATCTCATTCACCTGCTTCCCCAGCACCTGACCCAGCTCAGGGCACACGGCCAAACACAACAAAACCAACTTTTATGGAGCATTTGAAGTCAAGTGAAGTGAGAGTGGCTCAGTCGGGTCCGACTCTTTGCGACCCCATGGACCCTACAGTCCACGGAATTCTCCAGGCCAGAATCCTGGAGTGGGTAGCCTGTCCTTCTCCAGGGGATCTTCCCGACCCAGGGATCAAACCCAGGTCTCCCGTGCTGCAGGCGGATTCTGCACCAGCTGAGCAACAGTTTGTTACACTCACAAAAACTGCAAGAGTAAACACGATCACTGATCCATTTCACAGAAGACAAGATGAAAGAATGTTAAGCAAATAAATCTGATAATTTTGTGCACCGTCACAGCACAGTATAATGGAAAGAGCATGACCTCCAAGGCCAGAGGGTGAATTTTTCTTCCCTGACTTAATAGATGTATATTCTTGGATAAGTCAGTTCCCTTCTCTGAGCTTCAGTCTGCTGTGCTGGAAAAAGAAGACAGAATCCCCCAGAGGCTGGGTGATTATTCTAAGAATTAGGGATAATTTATGGAAACTGCCTTAGACTGAGCAACTAAGTATTGTTACTAATAACAGTGATTTATATAACATTCATTAATTAATGAGACTGTATATCTTATTTCTTTTTTGTTTCTTTTTTTATTGAAGTATGGACAGAGGAGCCTGGAGAGTTACAGTCCACGGGGTAGCAAAGAGGCTGGCATGACTTAGACTAAACAGCAAGCCAGCTGATTACAATGTTGCATTAATTTCTGCTGGATAGCAAAGTGACTCAGTTATACCTTGACACATTCTTTTTTATCCTCTTTTCCATTATGATTTACCTTGGGGTGTTGAATATAGTCCCGGTACTGTACAGTAGGACCCTGTTGTTTATCCATCCTTATAACAGCTTGCATCTGCTAATCTGAAACTGTCAGTCCATGGATATCTTGTTTCTGAGACCCTCTGGGCAACAAGTTACCTGTTTTTTCACCATAGCTCACCATACAGGAATATACTACTACAAAACAGCTCTACATTTCAATG